TCGAGTCTTAGTTCTCGTAGAAGTTCGGTTAGGCGTTTCCGAAACTGGAACCCGGAACCCTAAACCCAAGCCATACTTGGAGGGTCGGGAGACTTAGTAAGTAGGGAATAAGTAGACTTATAAGTACCCTAAAAGGGACCCTAATTGGGGTTATAGTACTTATAAGTCTATAAAATAACCATTTACTAAGTCCCCCGACCCTCCAAGTAAGACCCTAAAACTCCATGAAACCCCCAAACCTGCGTCCTAGATCCCGAAAGCTCTACACGTCCACAGCCTATGGAACGCTTGACGGAACCCTACATCGCTAGGCCTAAAACCCCGAAAAACCCTCGTAAGTCTACGACATAAAACAGTTGGGGAAAAGGCTGCAAGTATCATGGCCCTTTTCCTAAACTTGTTATAGGTATCCGTCTTATAGAACCCTTCTAGCACCCCTTAAGTAATCCTAGGTAGTATTAGGGAGACCCTAAACCCTAAACCCTAAACCCTAGACCCCTTGAAGGGAACCCTTCTGAACCCTACTTCTGGCTCTCTTAGAAGAGACCTTATTGTTTAGGGTTTAGGGTTTAGGGTTTAGGGTTTAGGGTCTGTATCCCCAAGAGTCCCTCTAATCCTAACTTCCAAGTAAACCTTGGCGTTCTTCTGGTTGGCTCTTAGCAATTTAACTGTCTGGGTTTCTATATGAACTATTAATAAGTAGGCTAAAACTTTAACTTTTAGGAGGGGCTCAGAAGTCAGCCAAGAAACCCTTCAAGCCCTGCTCAGCCGAGGCATTCCCCGGCTGTTTGCCGAAGCGCCTGGGCATCGACAGGGGTAGTTCTCTAAATTTAGGGTCTCTTTTTAGGTCCGCCAAACTGGTACGGCACCCTTAGAAGTACCCCAGAAGGGACTGGAATTTAGAGAACTACCCAGATCTTTCAACATTACAGACCTTGGGTTTCTGGAAGTTATAAAGTTTCAGCATAACCTGCTATTGTTGTAGGGTTTCGGATTACAGACAGACCTTTCGGTTTCTGGATATTAGAAAGTATCAGGTTGAGGGTCTTGCATTTAACCGTAAACCCTTACCCTTAACTGGGGTTAGCTTGTAAGGTTCCTCAGCGAAGCTTACGGAGCAAGGCGCCCCATTCCCTTTGGCTGCAACCGAGGCGTTCCCTCTCCCAGGAGGACCAATGCTAAAACGGTAAACTCATTTAAATCGCTGCAAGTGTTTTTAGCGCTGCTTTGTCTTTTCCTGTGAGACCCAAAACGTGATGTTTTCAGTTTGTGTGAGTTTGTGCTTTTCCAGGTAAAGGGTTTTCCAAGCCCCACAGTTTTGGACGTTTTTGATGCTTTCTGAGCCCATCAATTTGGGGCTTTGGCTCTTGTGACTCGTGCGCCTTTCCCTCTAAATCTAAGGGGTTTTGGTCTTGCCCGACACCCCGGAAAAGATGAAGTCCGAAAGCATGCGAGACAATCTACTACAGGGCTGTAGTGCTTTATTGCTTCAAGCTGAAGAGTACGTTTTAGGGTTCCTTCCTACAAACACAGTGTAATTGACCCCCGAACCCTATTCTGGCTGTTAAGGCCCTTGTACTAAAACCGATGTAATACCCTTCTGGTGGCCCTTATGTGGAAACCCTTCAGGAACCCTTTCGAAGGAATCTACTTTCATTATTAAGACCCCTTGTCTAAAGCCTTGAGGAACCTTTAAGGGAGCGCTGTTAGACGAAGCTTTTTGAAATTTATGAAGAGTCTATAGCGTTATTGAAGAATCCTTTTAAAGGAAGCTCTTTCTAGCTATGAAAGCCCCCGTATGAGGCGGTAAAGCGGATCGGGTCTGGTGGCATCTGCGAGCCATCGCCGGACTGTTCCGAGCAGGCGCAGTTAGGGCCGGAATAGGGTTCCTTTAAAGGGTTCTATAAGGGCTAGTCTCAGGGCTACTATAAGGATGTAGCTCGGGGGCCTATAATTTCAACATGGTTTCATGATGGTTTTTGTGTGTAGTTTTGATGTCGGGACCTTAGTATGTGTAATGCTGTATGCTATCTTTTTCTTCTTCCCAGCCCTATGTTCGAGACTTAAAGTTTTAGAATGTTGCGGCTGTTTCGCTTAGATTTAGGGCTCAATGTGGCTTGTGGGCCGGGGAGCCAATATAGACCGAGCCCCAAAACCATTGTGCGCTGCTTTAGAAACCTTGGTTTTGCTACGTCCGCCCATGTGTGCGGTCTCCGCGCATCTGAATTTTGTAGCCTGGACACGTGCATACTTGGCGGTAGTTATCCTAAACTCTAAACCCTAAACCGTTAATGCTCATCCTATGCCTCATTTTGGCTCTTGGTCTGTGGAACCGACGAAGAATCGATCCCAGGGGTAGTACCCGGGCATAGCTCCTACGAAAGGCCCTGCGTGCGCTCTGCTCCAGGCCGAAACGCCAGCTCAAACTAAGCTTTGGCCCCCGGGGGGAAGGGAACATCAAGTTCAGATTCCTTTATGGGATCTACAAGGGTTCCGTAATAGATCAAGAAGGGGCCGCAGTAATACCAGTAGTAATATTCTAAGTAGTCATACTAATGCTAGTAAGAAGCTATACAGAATAATATACAGTAATAATACCCTACACCCTAAACCCCTAAACCCCTAAACCCTAAACATAATAGTAATGCTAGTAAGAAGCTCTCAGTGTCTCGGGGGGTCTTACCTCATCTTTGTGGATCTCCTTCGGGATATGTTTGCGGGCCCATGACCTGGCAAGCTTCAACATAAGTTCCCAAGAGTTCTGGCGCTGGTTGCAATTTGAAACACTTCTCTTGGCCAAATCACGATAATCATAATGTAGTGGCTCCTTATTATAACTATAGTATAATGTACCCCAAACCCTATTCTCAGACTTCGGTCCGCAATCACCCCCAAAACCTATTCTAATTGTCAAGGCCCTATATCTATAGTATAATGTATCCCCAAGCCCTATTCTAACTATTAAGGCCCTATCATGCACATGCCCACCCTTTAAGAGCCAGGAGGAGCACGGCATGGACATGGAGGCTGTCGAGCTTTGGGCCGAGGCTGCCTGGGTTCCTTTAAGGGATCCTTTAAGGGATCTATAAAGGTTGCTTTGAGGGATCTATAATAAGGGATCTTTTAAGGGATCTATAAAGGTTCCTTTAAGGGATATATGGGGTTCCTTTTAGGGATCTATGGGTTTTTTCAAGGGATCTATCAGGGTTCCTTTAAGGGGTCCTTTAAGGGATCTATAAAGGTTGCTTTGAGGGATCTATAAAGGTTCCTTTAAGGGATCTATGGGGGTTCCTTTGAGGGATCTATAGGGTTTTTCTTAAGGGATCTATAAGGGTTCCTTTAAGGGATCCTTTCGGGGTTCCTTATGTTTGCTTGGTCAGTCGGTATCCTCGAAGTATCCCCACATGTCCCACCTGGGCCGCATCTAATATACGGGCCTTAATATCATTCTGGGGGTTCCTTATTATAGCTATAGTCTAATGTGCCCCAAAACTCCTGTTCTAATCATTAAGGCCCCTATGTTACACCTGTTTTTGCACTTTTACGATTCCAGTTTCTGAGCATCAACACCGCAAGGCGTGATCATGGAGCCCCAAACCATAGCTGCCAACAAAAGCCTGCAGAAAGCAAAAGAAGGAGTGCGCCAGAATCTGTTAGGTTAGGGTACCGTAGCTTGGGAAATGCAGGGTTTTCCATCAGAAGAGTTTCGGACATTCGAGCTGGATCGAGGCTTTAAGATCTATGCCCAAGTGGAAATGTAAATTGGTGGTTTCAGTTGGGAAATAGGGCTAATGCACCACCCCACACCCTAACTCATTGCCCCTGCCAAGACTTCGGCCGTCGTTAGGATCCACAGTGCATTCCAGTGCCCTTGAACCTTGCAAAACCCGGCCGAAACCCCGTAAACCCTAAACCCTTGAACCCCAAAATGATCCTACAAGTTCAAGGTCGCAGCTGAAAATCGAATGCTGAACCCTTGCCCAGAGACTCCAATACCCCTTAATGAAGGAATATACCTTAAATCATATTAGGGGTCCTACTATAATTTAAGGTATATTAGGGGGTATTGGAGTCTCTGGGAACCCTTAACCCTCCGCACCAGACCTTCCTACGCTCCCGGGTACTCACCGAGATCTTGATGCCGCCTAGCTCGCGATTTGACACTCTTGCTGCGTTTTTTTTTAATAGAAGCGTTAAAAGAGTTCTAGAAGGGTTCCTTTAAGGGGTTCTATATGGGTTACTCTAACGGGTTTAGGGATCTTACTCCCTGGGTTCCGTATCGCATATATATCTTGCGTTATAATGGACCCTAAAACCTGATTCTAAGTACCTAAGATGACGATCCGAATGCCCCTGCATCGGGAAAGAGAACGGCTTGTGTAGGGCTTGTATCAGCTTTTGCACAGGACTCTGTATGAGATGTGAAGGGAAAGGGAACAATCATCACCAGTAGTGAATCTTCCCTCAACCCTAAACCCTAAACCCGTGTCTTCAACCACCCCGAAGCTCTCCTCAGCTAGAAGCCGGCACAGGCTCCCGGTGTGTGTACTGTGTACAGTCACAAAGGGAGCCCAAGCACTATTGAAGAAGGTAAAAAGCTTCGCATTGCTACAGTGGCAACAACAACGACAATGATAATATACGAATAGTAATGACAATAATGATAACAACAGGCCTATCATTACTGATAGGCTTAATTCTGTCAGTTCAGCTAACAAACATGTGACACTCGTCTAGCCCATGGTCTCTTTCAGCGGCGGTAACCTTCAGTGTATCTATCGGCGAAACCCATCAACCGCGCAACTTACTACAAGGTTCGACAAGATCCTAACCGCACACAAATGATGAACCTTCTAGCCACGTTTTGAGCATCTTGAACAACCGCTTGCATAGCCCTCTGAAGCTGTGTGACAGACATAGAACGCGAAAGCGATGTAAAGCCTCACAAACTCCAAACGCATCTCTCCAGCCTAGCTTATACAACGCTCAATATCTAGACAAAGTCAGCACACAGGCCTTCAACCCTTATAAACCCTAAACCCCTAAACCCTGTTTCGCTACTATAGTAAAACCCTCGGCTTTGCCCTGAAGCCTAAATTCGACAGCCTTTTTAATCTCAAGGGGCCTGAGCTTTTATAAAGACCTATGCAAGCCCTAAAGCAGCCCGTAATGTAGGGTTTAGGGTTTAGGGCTCCTAGAACCCGAAATCCGAAAAAAGACCCTTTGAAAGAAAGCTCTAAGAAGAAACCCTATGATCCCTAAGCCCGAGCTCGGGGCGAGGGTTCGCCGCATACCACCCCTGGGAGGATCCAAAAATTGATCCCTCAAGGGGGAATTACATGATTAGGCTATTTTTATAAATGCTAAGATGGTTCTGATTTTTTTCATGAGGTACTCTTTGGTCGTATAGGTCCCAAACGAGGGGATCCCCACTTTTGCGCCTCCTTCCACAGGTCCCACTTCGAGGCGCGCGTGAAGAACGCCCCCGCCGAGCTCCTCGGCCCGTTTTAATCAGGGCCGCTTGGGGGCTCATGGGAGTTTCCGAAAATATGGGGACCCTAATATTGGGTTTAGGGTTTAGGGTTTAGGGGAGTTTCCGAAAATATGGGGACCCTAACACGGGGGTCCTTTACAATAAGGATCCTACTATTTGGGGTACTGGATTAGGGTCCCCTATTTTCGGAAACCCCCTCATGGGACTTAGTAACTAGGGTTATAACTAAGGTAGCCAAACTTAGAGTTACGTCTAGCCTCAGTTGAGGTATTTATAACCTTACCAAGTCCCATGAACCTCCAAGTGGGGGGTTGGGCGGGTCTAAAGAGTTGGGCTTCACAGGGCTTTTAGGGCCCAAGACCCTTTACTTAAAGGAATATGCCTTCAATCATAATGTGAGTCCTCCGGTACAATCCTGAATAACGGTTTTAGAACTCTCTAGGCTTCCAAGGGTTTGTAGTGAGATCATAAATTCTGTCTTGTTGTTTGTTTTCTGTGTTTTTTTGTGATTTCTGGGGTGATATTATCAGGGCTTGCATAAGGTTTAAAGTTGTGGTTTCATGTGCTCGCATGATGAGAGGCTTGCATAAAGGTGGTGGGGATGTCCATGAGGATTTCATGGTAGCGCTATGTGCTTTTTATAGGAAGGGCTGTATATCGCTTTCTTCCCAGACCCTCCAATATGACCCAATTGAGGCACATGCATGAAATCATACTAGGGAACATACTACAGCTTGAGGAATCTTCCTTGATTCAGGGTTATTGGAAGGTCGGGGTTGATGGGTTTCATATGGTCCATAGTTTAAGGTCTTTAAGGTAATGCAGGATTTGTATCATCAACAGTATGGACAGAGTTTTAGGGTTTCGGATTCGGGGGACGGTGAGGGTTCTACGGCGGCCGGTTTGGACCCTAGCGCTTTCCGGAAAATCCCAAAACCTACTGTTTTAACGGCTATGTCCCATAATTATGGGGCCGTAACCTGCTACTTGTTGGGGCTTGGAGCTACAGGTTGGGATTAGGGATTTTAGATTTAAGGGTCTAGGGGCCCGAAGGTTTTACGTTTGCAGGTTCTAGGACTCAGGGACTTAGGGGGTATGAGAATGTAATATAGGGGCTTTAATGATTAGAGTAGGGTTTGGGGTATAGTATACTGTAATTATAATAAGGAACCCCCAAAACCGTATTCTAATTATTACGACCCCTTCCTTAGAGGGGTTTTCTGGAGTTATATTTAGAGGCTTCATAAAGGTTGCATGGGGTGTGTAAAGCGGCTATGAGTCGGATTGAATCAAGGTGCAGCCAGGTTCGTGGGTAGCTAACCGCGGCCGCCACTGTCTGTATTTTGAGGGTTGTTAATGCGTTGTAACCTACTATGGTGTCGTGTGTGGGGTCACAGGTACTAGTAGAGTTGTGTGTGAAGGCACTGTAGCCGCTATAGCTATCCCGAGCTGTTGAACCATTGCCCCAAATGAGGGACTCAGTGATCCCCTTCTTAAAGTACCCCGAACTCTCGAGTAGATTCGGGGTTCGGCTTGGGTTTGGATAGAAGTTGCCTGAGACACTTCGGGCTTTTCTGATTTTAGGGCATCTGTAGCCTCCAAAAATTACAAACTTGTAGGTTCTTACCCCTGGGAGACAGGGTATCACACCTTGGATAATAAGCTGTTGGAGCAACAGCTGCTTGTCTAGAGCCTCGGTTGCAGAATGGCATTCCAAGAAAAATAGACAATGTACAGCTTGAGTAGACTCGCCTCAACAGCTTCGTAAATAGTGCCTGTAGAACTATAGAAGCTGATTCGTTGATCCTTGATTCCTACTTCATTGAGTCTACATCACCCAGGCAACGCTGCAAAGACGAGCGAACAGCCCAATTTGAGGGGAGCATCGAAGATCTAGGTTGCCGGAAGAGAGGACAAATGTTGGAAGATGCCAAAGGTCACAAAAACAATTTCTGGTCAAACTCAAAGCCACAGGAGAAACAGCAGCCTTGTAACCCGCTTTATGGTCATGCGACTGCATTGTGCGATGCAGGAGAGAACCGAGCCGTGTGGGCATCATCGATTTGAAGCCACCTTGCTGCAACAATCCATCTGGGTGTGTTTTCTTGCGTGATGCTTCCGCTTGGAGCTCACAATAGCAGTATCCCATGTTATTTAGGAGCACTACGACCTGCAGACAACTTAAGGTTTAGAGTTTCATGTAGAAGCCTGGACAACTGGTAGTACTCTTCGTTTGGGTCCTTCAATATTTAGATAACTCTATTAGAACATAAACCAAAGCCCTGTTCTTATTTTGTAAGATCCCTATACTGCAAAGGTTTGGGCTTCAGAGCTTAGAATATTTGGGTTTAAGGTATAGGTTGTTTTGGTCCGTGGAGTCATGGTCGGGCTCTTCTTTCAGTTCTCTGCTGTTCACTTGTCCTCGTAGCTTCTGTATGAGAAGGAGCCCATGCTGCTTTGCTTTCCTTACAGCATCGGGTTTGCGATCTTGTTTATCGGTTGTTTCTCCTCGCTCTACTGTTAAGAACCCTAACCCTGAGCCTGAATCGTACGCCCCAAAGCCTAGTCGCGAAGCCGTGCATTCCAAAACCCAGACATCCCCATCTGGCATTCGACATGTCGATTACTGTGGAAATCAGACTGCTCAGTGTCAGGACATCAGCAGTGGAAGCAGGCATATGTCCATAATATGTATATTATGGATATATTAGGCCCTTAATAGTAGCCCTATTATGGACTCTTACTGTTGGGGGCCAGTACCCAATCGATTAGATGAGGAGGTAGAAACCTTGAGACTCCGGGCGCCGACTGCTCTTGGAGCTGGGAAAGGACGGCTGATGGACTCATCTGGAATTGTAGGGGTCGTAATACTGAGAACACGGTTTTGGAGGCTCCTTATTCGAATTATAGTATACTATACATAGATCCCTATTATGGTATCTTAAACTAAGATCCCGAAACCCAAAAACCCCAAACCCTAAACCCTACTATGGCAACTTAAACTAAGATCCCTAAGCCCTAAAACCCTAAACCTTTCCCTCAACAAGAGCCCAGTTGAAAACTCCCGGACTGAGAGGTGCGACCCCTGGCAGATTTGCCAGGCCGCCATCACGGAAGTTCAGAGTGGCGACCCGGAGAAGACGTACGATTTTATAGGGTTCTAGGGCCCATGATACCATAATTACAATAAGGAACCTCCACAATACGTCTGATTATATCGATCCTGCACCTACCCGTAGCAGGGAATGTTCCGTAAGTCCCATAGTTTAGGGTCCTTAAGGTAATGCAGGCTTTATATCATCAACAGTAGTACGCCGATACTTCCGGCTTTATACCATTCGGGCAGTTCTCTAATTTAAGGTCCCCTTTTAGTTTAGGTCCCCAGTACCCTAAACAAACCCTAAGCCTAAGCCCGGAATCTGAGGAAATATAGGGGCCTAAATAATTACCAATACTATTCTGGGGGGTTCCTTATTAACTTATGACTATAGTATAGTGTACCCCAATTCCCTTATTGTCATGGCCCGTATGTTAGTACGCTGATAGTATGGCTTTATAGTAGTCTTTACAGTTTAAGGTTTCGGGCTTAGGGTTGCATTTTCTATGGGAAGGTTGACGATCTCTATGAGGGCATTATAGTACGACGTCTGTAGAAAAGCTTTTGCGATTTCTAGAAGGGTTCTATAAGGGGTTTTGAAAAAGGTTCTGCACGGCTGTGTTAGGGATTTGGGTTTCGGGCGTTTCTACGGTTCCCTTTCAGAAACCTCAGTTACAATGTAAAGGAAGTGTTTAAACTATTTGCTACATGCTTGCTGGATGTAAAACTTCGTCAAGCTCGTCAGCAGAGACGCAAGGGAAAGAGTCTATTGGTGTGCAATACAGTAGAAAACAAAGGAAGAGAGCCCAACAGCATGTCATTCATGCTGAAGCAGATCGTTCAATGGAACTCCATGTAGGGCCCTTTTTTTTACTAGATGACCACATGGACCCTCATACCCCAAACCCCAAGCCCTGCTGGTGTCCTTAAAGGAACCGCTTCATGGCCATCGGACCTTGTGTATAAGGGTGCCGTGCTATTTTGGGGAGACTCTCTAATTTGGAGAACTACCCATCTGTTGTGAAACTCCCAGGCATCTGATTCAAGGCGTCTTTGGTGGGGGATCGGGAGTCTGCGGCTTACAAGTTCAGTAGCTTAAAGGGCTCCTTAAGGGGAACTATAAGGGCTTTAAAGGGGTTTCTATAATAAGGGTACTATAGGGATGCTTAGAGGATCATGGGACTTCGTCCGTAAGGTTATAAGTACCTGAAATGGGGAGGTAGCAATGAGAAGCAAGTATAGCTACCTTATGTATGACCCCAGCTACTAAGTCCCATGATGCTTGAAGTAGGCTTTTGCAGTTCAGGGGTTTGGTGTTTAATATAGAGGTCTGCATGATTCGTAATGGTATCCCAAGTAGTCCCCAAACATCTATTCAGGCCCCTATGTTAGGGTTTCTGTATGCTGGGCCCCACGCTAGAGCAGCTGGTTTGGTTTATATGGGGGTCTGAAGAATGAATTCCTAACAGTTCTCCTCAGGGTTGGTTCCCTCGTACTTAGTACAGGTACCGTAACCTAGGTGACAATTACATGTAAGTATAGCTACCTTATTTAGAAGCGTAGTTGCGAAATCCATGATCCTTTAAGTACTCCAAACCTCAAACCAGTGTCCTGGATCCAGGTGGCTGGGTCGAGTCATAATTCACGAAGCTTAGCACCGGGATAACGCTTTAAACAGCCCCCAGCCCCTGCAGTAAACCCTAAACCCTAAACCCCCCTGCGGCGTACACCGTCCAAACCCCTCCAGCCCAAAGCTGATCACGATTTTCTCTGAGCAAAGGGCCACATCAGTGCCAGATCGAGGCCGAGAACTCGCAGCTCGGGCATTGTTTCTGTACTTGCAGGTTCGTGGGACTTAGTAACGAGGGTTATAAATAGGGTAACTATACTTGAATTATTGTTCCTTTGAAGGGCTACTTTAAAGGTTTAAGCTTTGCCGGAGATCACGGTTTTAGGAGTTGTACCGAAGAACAAAGGCGTCATAACCTACAGTGTCGTAGTGTCTGGGGCTACAGGTATGTTAAAACCGAGTAGTAGGAAAAAGGGTGTCGTTGTTATTCAGGGGTTACGGGGAACCTAGTGCTTCTTTAGGATTCGAGGAAGTGGATACCTTGATTTCGTTCAATCGGTAAGAGGGTTGACCCACATTCAACCGAGTTTCTGTTGAAGTTGTTGACGAGCCTCCAAGAAAAGGAAGGAGCCCTAGAAGAACCCTAAATGGAACCTTTAGAGGAACCCTAAACTTAACCCTTAAAGGAAACCTAAATGGAACCGTTCGAGTTTTAGGTTACAGAACAGCCGTCACCAGATCCGCTCAACGGACGACGTGATCAGCTCACCGATACCCGACGTAGGATCGATGCTCCACGAGCTGCCTATTGCTGCATTTCGCGGTCTGGGTCAAGACCGAGGTCTGGGGACATTGAGTTCTGCCATGCTGCCCGGATGCAATACGCCTTGCTCTGTACGAGGGTTCCCTTTTGAAGTACTTGTGCTCAGAGGCATCTGCCATCTGCCGCAGGTGGCTTCAACTAGAGCGGCATCCGACTCAAGGGAGCGAAGATGAACGTTGTTCGTTCAAGCCCACGCGGGATCTGGCAGTAGGGAAGGAGGTGGACATGAGGTGGAGTCAGAAGGTTCCCGGACATTCTGGAACCAGGTTACAAGGAACTTGCTATAGTATCCCATCACCGCAGCTGGGGTACTTGCAACCTGTGTGTCTCTCCATGAACCTTCCATGTAGGCAAAACCCCTGTGCCCTGGACCCAAAAATCCTGTACTCCAGACGCTGACCCCAAGCCAACGGGGTTTGCACGCCGAGGTCCCAAGATACTTGTTCCTGGGCTTTGAAGTACCATACTTTACTACTTTCTTTTTTGACCTGTTCCTTAAATGGACCATTATGAAATAATAATTTAATACTTTTTTTGACCTGTTCCTTAAAGGAACCATTATGAAATCAAAGACTATACTTTTTTTCTCCCTGGTTGCTTCAAAGCCCAGGTTCTACATCATGGAGGAGCTCCTCTCCAACAGTAGCTTCCCTGCATCTCGACACCTGAACCACGACTCCCAAGTTCTGAAACTACCTTTGCTAGTGATATTTTTAATAACTAATACAAATACGAGAACTAAAAGTAATAGTAATACTTACACTAGTACTAATACTAGTACTAATATGATTGCTAACATTAAGCGAAACTCAAGTGGAGGGTTTTGGGCTTTCGAGTTGCTTGGCTTTACGAGTTTAGAAAGTGGTCCCTTCTCAAAGGGTGTGTGCTGGATTGCATTTTCTTGTAGAATAGATGCTTACCCCCGTTTGTAAATAACCCGTGCCTCCCCAAATCCAACACCCTGAACCGGCTTTCGGGCTTCCTTTAGAGGGCTCCTTAAAGGGTTCTATAAAGGCTACTATAAGGGGTTTAGGGTGCAGGGGCCTTAATAATTAGAACTTCTTCCCGTGGCTACCAGAACCTTTTCTCTCCTCAAATCGCTCTCAAGAAGCAACGACGCTCAAAATTTGAATTGAACACGCAACCATAAACTCGAGCTTGTCGTCTGTATTCTTGGATGACGTAATTGGTGTTTGTTATGTCCTAGCCATAGTCTCCGACCCAAACTTGGTAGAACAACAGTGAATATGTGCATGCTCTTCCCGATGTCAGGTGCCGGTGTTAGGTTTTAAAGTTCGGGGCTTCATAGTTCTTAAGTGCCCGTCTCATAAGAGAAGTCCTGAACAGCCGAGGTCGAAGTAATTCAGAGCAACGATTATTACACCATTAGCACTAGATTCCTGAGTAGTACCCTTTTGCCCTTTTTATTGTCTGGTTCGTGTATTAAAACTGAATAACAGGAAAAAGGGTACCCTTATATTCCGGGGTCACTCAGGAACCTAAAGCATGTTGCACCAGCTGGGCATCGCAGTGTCCATTCACCGGTGTTCATTCTTGACAGCTGCTTACCCAAAACGCAACTACCCCCGCTGACGTTTGTTGGGTCGATCCACGACACACGATCCTTAAAGGCAGAAGGAGTTGGCCGCACGTTGATTCTGCTGGGTGACCTGTGAGATTTAGGGCCTTATGTAGAAAGCTATCGAAAAGCCCTCCAAAACGCGGTGAAAACTAACTCTGGTCTTAAAGGTCCCTGCATCAGCCCTAGCTGGCAGAATTTGAAGTCTCCGGCTTTGGGGTTCTCCCAGGTGCACGGGCGGCGTCTCAGAGGGAAGAGGCGCCAGGGTAGAGCGGTGGTTCCAGAGACTGGAGACCAAGACCACCGGAAGGATTAACAAGATAGATTCCCAAAATGGGGGTTCCTTTAAAGTGCCTTAGGTAGTATAGGGTCCCAAATCAGGGGATCTACCTTTTAGATCCTTCCGGTGGTCTGGCGAAACATACTGTGAGCATTTTAAAGGCTTCATGTAAGGTGGACGTGGACTACGTAGTTCGGTGTTGGTTGGGATGTAAAGGGTGTTTAGAGACACTGCAAAGGGTGGGTTGCAGTGTAGGATAGGTTTTAGACACAGCGGGTTCCCAATTAGGACTGCTTTTGTAAGGGAAAGAGGGATGTGTGCGCCGATGATTCCTCAACCATCGGGAGCCTAGATCTCCGTGCCTATGTGCGGATTCCTTCGAAGCCCTAAACATTTAGGGGTTTCCGAAAATAGGGGACCCTAATATAGTACCCTAAATAGTAGGATCCTTATTATAAGGACCCCAAAATAAGGTACCCCTTATTTTCGGAATCTCCCATTTAGAGTTAAAGAGTTCATGGAATCCGAAAGGTCTGCTGTCGTTTCTCTGCGGGGTTTAGAAGCTTGTGTGCTTTAACTTTATATAAGTCGTTGAAAATGGTGACTCTTATGGGAGCCTGAGAGGGAAGACCTTAAAACTTAAGTTTAAGCCTTAGACTCCTAAACCAACCTAAACCTGACGAGAGTCATGATTACGGCAAGAGTAGCAACTTCGAATTATATGTTTTAGTCGTGGTTGACAAGTTTTAATGGATGATGCTGTTCGTAGTTCTCGCCTGGGTTTCGTCGTGAGCGCTTTGCTTTTGTTCGATTCTTGCCGGGTGTTGCTCGCAGTCGTGTCTTTACTTGCAGTCTCATCTTTAAACTTACCTTTGGTTAGTAGGGAATGGAAGAATGGTAGTAATAGTAGTTAGAATTGTACCCAATTCCTCCATTCCCTACTAACCAAAGGTAAGTTTAAAGCCTACATCCTCCAAGCCCAGAGAGGCCCAAAGCCGATGAATGTGTTTTCGCTTCTGCCCTCAGGGGTCCAGTTCGGCAGCGCCCATCAAAGTGTCCCTGTGTGCGGACGACAGCCAGGCGGAATTAGGCTAGGTTGGTTTTTGGGACATTTTGTATTTTCCTTATTTGGGTGTATAAGGGACCCTTGATACAAATATTTTTCAGAGGGTTTAAAGGCCAACCCAGTAGGGCTTTCGGCAGGGTGCAGTCTCGACGCTAATCGCATTGTTGATGCTGTTCAAAGCATTGTTGTTAGCATGATGAACACGTTCATCTGAAGAATTTCAAGCGCTACTGCTACGAGCACTACAACCGGCTCCTACTACTACTGCTGCTGTTGCTGTTGGTGCTGCGAAGTCTTTGCAGCCCCTTGCCAGAAAAGGATGTTGCGAAAATTTGCTGCTTGCCAGTCCAAACTCCCAGTGCTGTGGGTACCCTTGCGCCGGAATCCTACGTGACCCACAAGGCGCCGCATAAAGGTGACACCTGAAAGAGTGACTTTAGCCGAAGGCCCCCGTGAGCGCACCCGCCTCCGGCCGTAGCCCGAAAGCCAAGACTTCAGGTGGTGATTCGCATCAGCGACCGTGCAGGGGGAATACCGTCCAGCTGCGCCAGCAAGTGCTCGGCTCGGGAATTGAAGGCATTCTTAATAGCAGTCGGAACCAGCTCCGTCTACGATTTAGGACCAGGGTCGAGCAACTACGAAGGGACGTAAGGGGCGGGACTAGCATTTGGGCACCGGGTGTAGGCTATCGGAGCTGCTCGCAGAAAGTCACGAGATTGATTGGTCGGTTTTTTGTTGCATGTTAGTCTGTGCTTTTTGTAAAGCTTCTTAACTGCATAGGCACACAGACCATCACAGACAGACGCGTACAAGTGGCCCACAGCCCCATTAGAATCAATCGCACAATCCTATTCTCAAAGGTCACTCCAGGGCTCCAGGTACTTAAGCAACGGGTCGCTGGAAGACATGCTGTAGGTACTTCAATAGCTACGGTTTAGGGCTTTAGTTTTACTAACCTACTGTGCAGGCATCTGGAGCCCAAGGTGGAGCATTGCCCGACCAGAGACTCCAATATCCCTTAATTCAGGAATATACCTTTAATCATATTAGGGATCCTACTATAATTTAAGGTATATTCCTCAAGCAAAGGATATTGGAGTCTTTGGTCCCTAAACCCTAAATCCTAAACCCTAAACCCTAAACCTCAGGCAAAGGATATTGGAGTCTTTGGGACCATTGCCCTACCAAGGGTTTGGTCTTACGTCTACACTACGGCAGCCGATGCACCGCATGGTGGCCAACGGCGCCAGAGCCCAAGAGGATTTTGGGCTTTAGTCTCTATATGAGCACCTGGGCAATGGTGTAAAATACATGTATGTCTGTGTATATATATATATATATTTTTTTAAGAAAATTTTAATTTATATATATATATATATATATGTATGTATATGCTGTCCATTTGTTCGGCGCAATTTTCTCAACGGAAAGGATTGCAGATACAAGCCTCACCCCCTGCCAGATCCAAACAACGCAGGTGGCAGCCGTGGTGGAAACGTCAGCAGTCATTTCGATGCCTGTTCTCCTCGTCACTCTGAGCATGTTGGCATTGACGTCAAGCATACTCACTCTGAATTCTACTGTCAAAAGTCTCAATACCACTACTAGTGGTAGCAGCGGCGGTAGGATTACGAGTAGCAGTGATGTGGTTGTGGTGGTGCTTGTGCTGGTGCTCGGTGCTGGTGTTGGCGGCGGTGGTGGTGGTGGTAGGGGCGGCAGGGGTGATGGTGGTGGTGGTGATGGTGGTGGTGGTGGTGGTGGTGGTGGAGGCAGTGGCGCTGTTGGTAGTGGTAGCGCGAGTGGAAGTGGTAGTAGTTGTGGTCGACCTCGTCGTTGTCGTCGTAGTATTAGAAGCAGGGATAGAAGTGGAGGTAGTAGCAGAAGAAGTAGTATTAGTAGTTGTAGTAGTAGTAGTAGTAGTAGCAGTAGTAGTAGTAGTAGTAGTAGTAGTAAAAGATAGTAAAAGTGGTAGTAGTAGTAGTAGTAGTAGTAGTAGTGCTAATAGTAGTAGTAGTAGTA